ATATCTTATTGAATTCAATAACGCATTATCTTGCAAGAACATTAACGTTTTGAAAAGGCGAAAATATTTATAAAATTAACAATAATTTATAGGACAATCATACTTGGTTGATCTCAAGTCTCAGTCTTTGCATGAGCAGGCCAATGTTGAACATAATCTGCCTATTAAAGAGAGCTTGATCATACAAATACTAAAGTCTGAGATCAATCAAGTAGGATTGGCTTGTAAAGTGCAAGTATAGGGAGTGTGTTATAATGGCATTTTTGAATTATGTAGCAAATAGAGTGTTTACGACTCAGTAACATGTAAACAATGAATGAATTATTAAATATTAAAAATCAGCTATATAGAAAAAGAACAAAGTAAGATCTGAAAATTTCACTGTTTACAATGTTGTTTTCTATTTTTTATAAGGAATGCCCCCAGTGGCACAGCGGTATGTCTGCTGGCTTACAACGCTAGAAACCTGGTTTCGATACCCGTGGTGGGCAGAGCACAGATAGCCCATTGTGTAGCTTTGTGCTTAACTTCAAACAAACAAACTTCATAATGAATAATGAGTTTACTTCAAATATTATGTCATGTCGTTTTCACTACGGTTTACTCTTGCTACACTATAAAGTGCATAGTATGTAAGTATATAGTACCTAATTTCTGGTTACGGTAAATATATTATACAATTCTAATGATCTGCAACGGGTGAGAAATGACGTGGAAGATATTAAGCACGTGACGAAAACAAGTGTAAAAAGTAGAACAGCGTGATTAAAGCTCTTACATTTAATGATTTCATGGAAACTCTATACAGCTCATTCTCTCTGATTTATTTCTAGGACCAAAAACCATCTGGGTCACTTTTTCCACCTACTTGCCCACAACCACTTCAGATAAACACAGAGTTCGCTAGTAGATTATAAATAATGGCAAAAAACGACAATCGATATGCAAAATACCCAATATTTGCTGGAGTATCCTTCATTATGATAGAAACTACAAATATTGGAAAATAGAACTCAGTTTTGTAATTAATACTAATCTGATCTCTAAAAACAGATGTTCAGTTACAAAGTCGACAATCACACATCATCAGATGGTTGTTATATATAGATTCTAGAGAATTCGGAAAGGAGTTACTAAAATCACATACAGAAAACCTTATAATGCTTTGTTTTCTTTATAACAATAACCAGAGAAAATATCATGTAATTATTATATGAAGCGAAGTCATTGTAAAGTTAAAATGTTTAAAATATAATGTAAGCATGTCATGAAAACAACAAGGAAAGATATTAATATTTTACCACTGAAATTTTGAGGGAATAAAATGGTTACATAGAATATATTTTATATGAAATTGTCACATAAAGTATTGTTTACAAAGAACTGTTTATAAATATTATCTGAAATTGCACATAAAGTATTGTTTACAAAGAACTGTTTATAAATATTATCTGAAATTGCACATAAAGTATTGTTTACAAAGAACTGTTTATAAATATTATATGAAATTGCACATAAAGTATTGTTTACAAAGAACTGTTTATAAATATTATCTGAAATTGCACATAAAGTATTGTTTACAAAGAACTGTTTATAAATATTATATGAAATTGCACATAAAGTATTGTTTACAAAAAACTGTTTATAAATATTATATGAAATTGCACATAAAGTATTGTTTACAAAGAACTTTTTATAAATAAGAAAGGGGTTGTTATTATTCGATACAGTGAAATATATACTTTTTATATAATTTTCTATCGAATAGTGAAAAATCCTATGCACCAACAAACTGTGAAGGGTAAGCCATGAATGAGTTATTACAGTGCTTCTTAAACTGGCGTCCGTGAGTGATGTCTAAAATTTCATAAAAATATTTAAAAAATATGATTTATAGAATAAAAAATGATTTTTCGTAAAATTAAATTTATCTGAATTAAAATACATAAGTTTGGAATACAGCTTTTCTTCAAAGCAAAAAATATCGATAGATTTAGGGGTTCGCGAAAAAATTTTAAATTAAAAGGGCTCCTCGGGTTACTAAAGTTTGAGAACTGCTGAGTTATTATGTAAGTTAAATGTAAAAACTCAAATTTCCAATAATTAATTTTTTTTTTCAGAATTTTATCACAAAGTTACACAATGAGCTACATGAGCATAGCTGATAGACTAGAGGTGCGAAAGAACAGCTAATTCTTGGGTTAGTTTCATCAGACCGAATAGTGGGATTTGATAGTCACCACTATAGGACACCCATTGCCGTAAAACGAGGATCGCGTTTTTTGCGGTAACGGATCGCGAACCATGAATTATCGGATTCACCGCCTTGACACTCTAACCTTTTTTACGATGCTAGTCCCATAAACTGCTTAAGCAAACGAAGTAGAATAGACGTTAAAGATAGGTTGTTCGGGTTGACCAGCGCATTTCAAAGCAAATTAACATTAGAATAAACCATAGAATGTTGTGGTTAAATTAATGTTTGTTTGTTTGTTAGAAGTTAAGCACAAAACTGCACAATGAGCTATCTGTGATCTGCCCACTACGGGTATCGAAACCCGGTTTCTAGCGTTTTTTGTCCGCAAACATACCGCTATGCCACTGGGGGCATTAAATTAATGTAAATACATATTATATGATAAATAGATCCGTCTTTATACCTTATCCTTTTATGAAAAATGTTGTAATGCACTTAGATTTCATTAACTGACGCACTCTCTTGGGAAGACATAAACTTTGTTGTGCATAATTTATTAAAATTGGTTGAGTGTATGTTTTACCCCCCCCCCGTAGCACAGCGGTATGTCTGCGGACTTACATCTGCCCACCACGGGTATCGAAACCCGGATTCTAGTATTCATTGTGTAGCTTTGTGCTTAATTACAAACAAACCAATAAAGTGTATGTTTTGGTCTTCATTGGTTTTCTATTTCTTAATCAATATGTTGACACATTTTTTTCCACAATATTAAAAGCCTCATAAAATGTTTACCTTTCATTGATAATTATTACGTCTCTAATAAAGTTAACTGGTTTGTAACGCGAAACTTGCTGAAAGCAGAGATAGATAATCTAAACATGAAACTCTTGATAATAGGCATGTTTATTTCACTGATTTCATGGAAGTATCACACAAAACAAAATCAGTTTCGTAGTTGGTACTTTGAACTTGAATGATACCTTATACGAAACATGATCTAAATAGCCAGGACAGAAACCCCAAATTCTGGCGTAGCCATATCTAATTTAGATATATTGACCAGAGGGTGAGTAACTAGTTAAAAACACCTGCCACCTACATGGCTACTCTTAATCGAATAAGGGGATTGATTGTCACTTATAAAACGCGACTACAGCTAAAAATGCGAAGTATGTTTAGCGGCATATCGCACGCTCGAACCTTAGCCCTTCCAATCTGAACACCCTAACCGCTAGACCACGGCTAGCCCAGATAACTTTGGAATAAGAAAATGTTGTTGTACAAGGAGTTTCTGAAGATATAATTCATATCAGAATTACTTAATAAAATGAAACAGTCTTGATGAAAAAACCGTACAGCAGCCTCTCACTGCAATAGAATAGATTCCAAAGTGTACATTGAAGTTTATAGGCTGTAATAGATATTACTGACAGATAATGAGAACGGGTGTTACATAGTCTCTGTATATAAAACATATTACATTTGGGTTCAAAAATTACCTTAAAACGTTCACTTAGGTACGTTCACATTAAGATATCCCGCTTATGATAATAAAATGCCTTTTTCTTTAAGAGTGGATATTTTTATCTGAGAAGAAAGTTATTTTTGTCATAAGAAAGAGTGCATATCGCTGAACTGGTTGAGAGATATTTGTCAAAACAAATGTACTACTAACAGACTTTTATACTAAAATAAATTGTCTCAGCAGACTAGGGATTCTGATGCAGTTAAGTTTAATCGTTCATTGGCAAACTTTACCATCCTGTTTCTAACACTTTTCAAGCTTTACGCTTATATCGAAGCACTTAGAAAAATGGGGACTGTTTGCTTCAATGTCTTTTGTTATTTTCAAATTTTAGTATATGGTTTTTGCTACCAGATGCAATTCGTAAATCCACAAATGATTTATGATTTTACGAATTTATCCAAAAACAAATACAAGCAATACAGAAATTTAAAGTTACTTCTTCTTCAGAGATGATACGAGAGCTTTTAAGAAATATACAATAGTAGTGACAAACGACATAACTATGAAACTAAAAAACAACAACAAGAAAAACATTCGAAAGTTTTGAAGCAAGCTGGATTCACATTAGTTGACCCAGCAGATTGAAAACATTCTTACTCCATGTCAACGTTTCAACTCTGTGTTTTCGATATAATAACAGTGCTATCTTTCGGGACTACTACTTTAAGAAATATACAATAGTAGTGACAAACGACATAACTATGAAACTAAAAAACAACAACAAGAAAAACATTCGAAAGTTTTGAAGCAAGCTGGATTCACATTAGTTGACCCAGCAGATTGAAAACATTCTTACTCCATGTCAACGTTTCAACTCTGTGTTTTCGATATAATAACAGTGCTATCTTTCGGGACTACTACTGTAGAGAACCACACATGGTAATCCTGACAAGTTGTTTTATTCAGTGGGTAATTAAAGAAGAAACGTAGAGAAAAAAAAGAGAGAAGGAGCTAATTCCAATACTTCTCAGAAAATAAACTAATCACATAATGTTGTACATTTATACTCATTTAAGAGGAATTTTCAGAAATTCTTGAAACTTCTCAAAGTTCTCTTTGTTTTAATTATTGCGTTTTAATATGGCTGGTTATTTCACAAAACAGATATTAAGTTTGTACTTATTGTCAATGATATATTAAATTCTTAGCATCAAACGTAATCTTTAAACATTATTAATAACTTCTTTAAAGTTTTAACTGGGTTTGAATATTCCAGGACAATTTTTAAGCCATTGGGCGTTACTTTAAAATAATCGAATAATTGACACTTACCTGACGGTATGCCAAACTTATACGCATGCGCCAAGTAAATATGTTCCATGATAAAACTGAAAAAAATATATATATGTTATTAATACACAACTCCACTTACTAGCATTATAACTTTCTAAATTTTATTTCTTTCTTTCAAACATCTACTACTAGCGAGAGTCGTTACCGATCGTATGCACAATACACGCTGGCACATGTAACGAGTTTCCACCCTTCATTATTTCATCCTTGGTGGCCCCCTCTAGTGGCAAGTTAGAATAAAGCCTAGCTTGTAAAAGCGAAGTACACGTATTAGATAATGAAAGTATAAACGTCGTCATGTTTCGCTTATGGTAACAATTATGTCTTATATTTAAGATATATTTTAATAAACAAAAATGGCAACAATCAGCCCAAACAAACAAATGATTTAACGCTTGAATTAGGAGGGGTTAAAATGTTAGTGGCATTTTTTTATTATTTTTTTCTTTCGGATGAAAGCTGTTTATGAACAAAATAGCGAGTAGGGGATTTAGATACAAGCAACAAACACTTTGAATACGGTTAATCCAATGGATCTCTATCTAATCTATGAATATTGATAGAACTGGATATAACATTAACACTACTTAAAGGCTAGCTCAAGTTTTATGTGTATACAATCTTACATATTTAAAAGAAGTTTATAAACAGCAGACCTTATACTTTACAGCTTTACATTCTCGTTGAGATTACAAAGTCAACTGCTGCAAAGAAGACCATTTTGATTGAGTTCATTAAATATAAACTAAAAAATATGTATTAATTATTAAAAGTGAATATATTTATAGTCTGAAACTAATTGCTACAGTCTTAATCAGTCTATTTGTATCCAGCCCTAATGTTTTTCTGACATATGTATTTTCTTGCGTGTGTTTTATATAACTATTCTTATAAATACTATTCTATTCCTTTGACTTATATTCTCTTTTTTCTCCTTCAGTGGTTACAAATAACTCGACTTTTTATGTTGAATTACTGCCTCAAAATGAAAATCATTCATTTAATAAATTTAGATACAAAACCAAGATGAAATACGCAAATGTACGTATATATTCTTATGCTCTAAATAAACAAATGTTTCAATTAATGATTGCTTCACAATGATGAAAAAAAAAAACAATACAGATAAGAAAATATTAGTCGAATACTGGCCACGTGTTTTTAGGTAGCCGTCCTAAGAGTACGATTAAATTATATGATATTTATACGTGTGACTGAATTTGCTCACTAAAAGTGACTTGTTGAAGTTGTTATATGTTTAAATATTTGATATGACATTATTTTTCAGACTGATTCATGATGAATTATGTTGAATTGATGTTTTGTGTTACAATACAAGTTTATAAAATTAGTGTCTTATAATTAGTCAGAAAAATATAGCAAGATAGCTGTTTTTAGTGAAACCTGCTCCAAATATTTGGTTTTCTTTACAGATTGTCTGAGTAAATATTAGTTAAGGTATTGCGACTATTACAGATATGAAAATATTTATAATTTAGGAATTTTAACACCGTAGTTTAAGATCTAGCTTGCATTATTTCGTCAGGAATAATTTAAGAAACAACCACAATGAAAGAAAATCTTATATATTAGGTTATTTATTTTGTATAACATCAGAAAATTTGTCGATGACTTCTACTTTTATTTATATGTATCTAACAAGGATAATTCATTCCATCACCTACTTCAATCAAATAGAAAGGCTGTAACTTAAAGGATCATGCTTCAAACTGATTATGTCATAACAGCACGAACTTTTTAAAAATGACTAGAGCGCTTTATCTGCACTTCAAGATATAAATTCAACGATACTTAAATAATTAGCTGCTCATACTGGTAAGTCATAAGAACCTATTTCCTCATGTGTGTGAGCACACTTTTACTTTAGATGTCACAGAACCACATAAGTTGCTTCTCGTGCTTTTCCGCTCTAGTAACAGTAACAGAGAATTGCAAGGCAAAGTGGGTGTTGCAAGACTTTGCAAAGAGATTCAAATTAAACAACCATTGTCAATGTCTAATAAGCCTCTAAAACCTAAATTATTTTTTGAATATAATTATACAGATCTGTATAAAGTGTTTACTGCTTCAAGTATTTTTGAACAAAAATTTATAAACGCTGCTTCTCGTATTCACTGTACATTTCAAGGGTTTTCTGAATCTGAGAGATTATGGCGTATTCATTCCAAATATAAAGTTTAAGAATGTTTCATTGTTGAGAAAAGAAAGAATGTTACGACAACCAACAATGTCTTAAACTAAAATCATTATGATTTATAACAATGCTTTATATCTTGGACCACATTTTCACATGTTACTAACGATATTTGTTTTATCATCAAACTAAGCTGCTAATCAATAATAAATTCATCAAGATAAAGTAAAAAGTATCTTATGAAAGAAAAATAAAACGTTGTGCAAACAGTTTTTGCATTAACAATAGACAAAATTAACATTATCAAAAACAAATAAAAACTTTTGAAATAATTAGCGTTACTAAATAAATTGACATTTAATTATATAGAAATATTGTAAATACTGATTTTTGCTGTTAAACTGCTATAAAATTAGCTTTCGTAGTAACAGTGAACATTTTGTAAATGTATTGAAGTTCCCCAATGCTTTATCGTCTGGCTACGATTTCCTATAATACAAATACTTTTGAATTATTACAACCTGTAATTTAACAAACCTATCTCTTTACCTATCAATAAAATGTAATCATCACTGGTTAATAAAAGTCCAGATAAACGATTGTTGTAAGTAAATTCGTTTTTATAAAAAAATATCACACTTTAATATAAGTTTAACATAACAGCTACTTGTACGTGATGATGACAAAACCTTGTCGAAACGTTGTACCTTTGCTGTTATGTTAAACTTATATTAAAGTTTTTCTTCATTACTCATTCAAGCCGTCTCCAAGCATTATTAGTCTGAAAGTGGGTTCCTTTTGCTCCTAATTCTATTTCTATAACAAAGATAAATCTTAAAGTTTTAGTCCTGCTGTATTAGAAATGTATATAAAATATTATAATTTCTTTATAATATTAGATGTGTGTGGAACTGAACTAAATGTGTGTTTTAAAATAATTCTCTAACATAATTTACAGACAACATTTAAAGCACCATTGTTCTATTGTAAAGAAGGAAGACCCAACTTTCGAAGCGTTCAGGTTATTGTTTTGAGTATTTTTTTTATTCTCCGTGATTTCTTTAGTTAAGAGTAAATATATATACCTGAAACTGGTTCATTATCTGTGGGTCATCTGTAAGTTTACGGACTTTAACGTTAAAATCAGGGGCTCGATTCCCCACGGTGGACAAAGTACAGACAGCCCATTGAATAACTTTGCGCTAAAAACAAAACACGCGCACATTCTTTCATGAGATGTTTATCAAGCATCTGAGGATTAACGATGTAAATCAAAACGTAGAATGTATTTGATTAAAGTAATGAGAAATAAACAAAAAACTATTGAAGTTGTATTAAATCAGCAACAACTTGATCCAGACAATATATTTTTACCATTCGTAAAAACCCAACTAGAAAAACTAAAGAGTAGAAAATGTTTCTGTACTTTCCACACGGTATTTAGGAACGAGAGGCCGAGTAAAATAAAAAAAAATCATTTGATTTATCCTGTATCTTGATATTTAGATCTAGAAACAGGTAGTTATGGAAAATACACTGAGTTTCATGCAGTGTTTTAGTAATTATCCTAATTATCAATGGATTAGAAAACACTTTTTCAAAATTCACGTGACGGACAACGTCGGCTTTTGTGAACCGCGTTCAATGTCAAATATTCTTATTTCTTTCCTAATTTTGAACTGTTGACCAGAGGAAGCAGCCCATCAGCAGCCAATCAGCAGCATAACACCAGCCATTATCCACGCTAAGGAACTGGCTGTTACTCTTATGACCTACCTGCAACTCAAAGTGCGGAGAACATTTTGTGGTATCACATTGGATTCGAACTTGGCTCGCAAGCTTCGAAATCCAGAATTCTGCCACAAGTCCATCCCGCGCCTCGTTAGTTCAAGACAACAATCACTTCATGCATCTCAACGAATATTCAGTATATCTACAGATTAAATTAGAGGCTATACATTTTTTGCTGTCTGAGATCTCAAATATATAGTTTTTCAAATTGATCACATTTCGGGTAATGGAAATAACCACGTTTTTGCATATATTTATCTTGAAAGACACTTTGTTCTTCTTACGTATGCCTTAATAAGGGATCATATCATTATGTTTCACTGAAAACATCTGTTGTTTCGTATCAAGACAAATCATATAAAGTATTAAAATAAGTAATTCTGGATATGGAAAAGTTTAACAATATATTTATAAAACAATATAATTATCACAAACTGATAATTTGATAACGTTAATGTGGGGGATTTTTTGTGATTCGTTATTCCTCTACTGCGAAACTTAAAGCAAACCAAAAGTACTCTTAGAATAATCTAAACATTTGAACTACCATAAAAACTAAAAATACAGCAAGACAATCACAGATGATAAGATACAAAATAACGAGAAAACACTTAAAAACATAACACAATATTTAATATGAAAAACTGACAAACAAGTGCTTACTAAATTAAATTTTTGGAATCTTAGTGAATTCATTATTCACACAGACAAGATTATAGTTCGTTTATGTAATATGTCAATGGATACGTCTCGGTATCATTTTGTGCTAAGTTTTCTTACATCTATCATAAAATATAGTTCTGGTAAAAACAAGCTAAAACTTGTTGATCCATGCCTAAAAATATGTGATGAAATTTAAATCCGTTTAGATGATATTACGATGTTATAACATCTAATGACGGAACTAAAATGTTAATTGCAAGTTTAGAAAAAATAAATAAAAATAAGTTATTAATATGTTACACTTTTTTTGTTTTCTTATTAACCCTATGTGCACGGTTGAAAGCCAAAGTGTGCAGAAGCCACGACCTTTTACAGAGTGTCTGCCATTCAACACGGTATTATGTATTTGATATCGGAACTATCAACTATTCATTTTACCCAATATGCTGATTTAGTGACAGTTTGTGGTAGAGAAGAGTAAACACCAGATACAATATACAGGGATACTAGAAAAACAAAATAAAAAAAAACAGTAGATATGCATTTCACAGGTTCTAAACGTTATGCAAAGGCGATATGTAAACTATACGGTGAGAAAAATACTTTCATTCTTCACAAAAACATAGCCTTGAACACCAGCTTGTCAAAGTTTGAGTCAGACTTACACAGTCAATGTACAGACATATCTTGAGTACAAATACATTTGTACCTCATTTGGCTTTTTTGTGTTTAACAGACTTGTACATTTTACTAAACACTTGCCATATTTCGTGAGGATACACATAGCAAGTTATGTCAGACGTAAGAGGTTAAAACGTATTTGTACTAATGGCCAAGCGACTAAGGCTATCTGCCACCGTTCATAATTTTGAACTACTGACCAGAGGGAAAGCAGCCAGTCAGCAGCACCCTGCCACCCACCATCCAAGCTTAGGAATTAACTGCCATTCTTTTAACGCACCCAGAGCTAGAAGTGTAAGAAATATTTTGTGATATCGAAGGAATTCGAATCTAGGTCGCCAGTTCAGAGACCTAGAGAAGTTTAAAAATCAAACTTACTATTGTTAAGTAGATGAAATATTTTCATTCGTTCGTTAAAACTATCCAATTTAAAATCAGTACATTTGAAATCAGAATAATTTCCGCAGGCATAAATTTATACAATATATAAACATAAAACAAAATTATATACATATATATATATATATATATCTTTTTCATTTTACGAAGAAACTATTACGCAAAAATAGCCGAATAGTTTAACTTATTTATTGATTGTCTATAAATATATATCATAACAAAATAAATTTTTCGATTTACGAAAAGAAATTAGCATGAAAACGGTTCATTCAGTTCAACAATAGCATTCAGATGATTCAATTATAAAAACACTTGTAATACTTAAGAAGAATTCTATTAGAAATATGGAAGTGTTTCACATTTTGATAAATAAAAACATTGTTAAGAACGAGATTAAGAGCATTAATAAAATACCCATTTGACATTCTAGTACAGTATAGTGGGTCAATTATAGCGTATAATAAGACAGCATCAAAGTATTCAATTAGGTATCAGGCTTCGTTTCAGAGGAGCATTCTGTACAAAGTCGATATCATATTTTACGTAGTCGTAGGCTTTCTGTTTTTTGTTTGTTTGAAGCTAAGCACAAAGCTACACAATGGGCTATCTGTGCTCTGCCCACCATGGGTATCGAAACCCTGTTTCTACCGCTGTAAGTCCGCAGACATACCGCTGTGCCACTGGGGGACTAGACTTTCTGTATAAAGGTTTTTAAAGTCAAGTCACTAGATTCATTGGTACGGCTATTAGTAGGATTTCATTTGGTAATAATTAGAGAAACTTCTAATTTTAGAAGATTCTGTTTATTTGCACGTTTTTAAGATAATTTCGGATACTTTTTGAAGAAATTGATATATATATTTAATCATAATCGTTTTAAAACAGAATTTCCATAATTATTATTTTTATAACAAAAGATATGTTTTAAAATGATACGCAGAAAATATCTAGCATTTTTATTCTTTATTTTTCTCAGCGTAAAGTCTTATTTTGTACACACAGTAAAAGCTTAACGAGTTTTTTCATGTCCATTGTAAAAGATCAAGCTTATATTTTTTTTTGTAAATGCTTTTAAATGTGTTTTGTAATGGATTTTCAATTACAGTTTTATTCAGTTGAATGTCTTTTCCAGTTGATCAATATAAGCATATAACTGACCCATGGTAGTTTACAACGTCACCAAATTAAAGTTTCAACAGCTCTTCATACGAGCGATAATTATTTTTCAACTCGTCCTACAAGATAGTTTAAAAAACAACAACACGCGTTTCAGATTTATCCAAGATAACCCGTTTCCTTTGCATTTTAACAGCTTTTCTACACAGTCTGAGCATTATATTATGTCCCCATATTTCTTGCAGTAGTAGCCTCGGCATGTCATAAACTTCAGTTGTTGTTCATTCATCAAGGAATATTGTCGCTATCCGTGAATCAAGGATATCGCCAAAGGATTAGAGTGATAAATGGAACGTTCAATTTCAAACCAAAGAGACTTAATTGGTCTGAGACCAGGTGACTATGCTGGCTCAGAAAGATGACTAAATTCATTGTCGTGCTTGTATATTCAATTTTAAATTAATAACACGAATGCAGTGGATTGTTGTATGATGGTACTATCACAGTGGATTGTTGTATGATGGTACTGTCACAGTGGATTGTTGTATGATGGTACTGTCACAGTGGATTGTTGTATGATGGTAGTAGAAGAGTCCTTGACTATCACAATGGATTGTTGTATGATGGTACTATCACAATGGATTGTTGTATGATGGTACTATCACAGTGGATTGTTGTATGATGACAGTAGAAGAGTCCTTGACTATCACAGTGGATATGATAAACAACAACCATAAGCTCCACAGTGAATCTTATTCATCGTTCTAAAGGAATAAAAGTGTCCAATCTCTGTCAAGATAAATTCACAACAGAATTACACCACTTCTTGTGGTTTGGCTTAAGTAGTCACTTGAAAGCTCACACGACCAGTTTACTTTACATATTCAAAGAAAATGAGTATTTTATACGTGTATATGTACGTTGTTGAGGGGTCATAATAAACTCAATGTTGCTGTTCTTGCAAACAAGAACAGCAACATTGAGAATTTAGCTAAAGTTCGTAAAAGTAAATATATATATATATATAAATATTAAAATTATTACAACCCTTTTCTACAAACCAGGTTTACAGTCCAGGCTCGCTGACAACACTTGATTCATAGAAATAATAATAATAACGAATTAATATCATAATATTAGTGTATAAACATTTCATTACAAAATATTCTTTCGAATGTGATAGGTTTTTTATATTTATCTTAAGCCATGGAAGAGAAATTATCGTATCATTAGAATTTAATGTTCTAACTTTATAATTAAACTTATGAAAGTTAAGAGCGTAATCATAATAAATGTAAAATATCATAAGATGAATCAAACGAGGTACGATAGCATAGCTTCCAATCTCTATAATAAGAATATCACTACCCACAATAGTAATTAATGAAACACTAGTTATGTTATTTCAATAGAAGGTTCAGATATGTTTTGTTGAGGACTTTATGGTTATAAGTTGCCAAGACTTTGTCTTTCCTTCAACATACATTCTAATAGGCCATTTTTTTCCATATTTTTGGCCAAAATAACGAGATATTTGGTTGAGAATACAAAAAGGAAATTGTTCACAAACATTATAACTGAACTTGAAGAAATGTCTTTCCGATACATTTGTTTTTGTAATTAACTCACATTAATGAGAAATATTATAGTTTCAACACATGATTATAACGTAGGACAAAACCCATATATTAAGTGGTCAAACCGATATCACATTTTTTTTTTTCTATTCTATTGTCTTCGCTAACAATTTCTACGAAGATCATTGATTTTGAACTATGAGACATTTACTGGTATGACCAGAGCCATCGCTAAATTTTGTGAGACCCTAGGCAGAACTGAACTACTAGGACATTGAAAGAAATCTGAAATGAAGTATTATAATTATTGATCGTTATTACATAGATATAAAATAACAACAATAACTAATATCATGTCATTTCAAAATATCAGTTAAGAATAATTCTAATAATACAACGATATTAAAAACACTGTAATACCAAAAAAAAACATCTTTAATACGGATGTTTGGGCATTTCCTTAAATTCCATCATCAGCGTTCATATCTAAAAAGAAATGTGTTCGTAATATTCGAACTGTAAAAACAGCATTAACATTGAGCAAGTTTTCGTATTCAATCGGAAATTTAGAAAGAACAGATTTAAACGGTAACAATATAATGGAATGTACGATAAAACGTGCGGCAAACACATATCTAATAAAC